TTCTTCAAATTTTCTTTTTGAAATGCAAAAGCTCTGCAGCCTTAGCTGGCTCCCCAGCTTCTCGTGCATCAGTTGTGGGGCCATCAGCTCTCTGGTGCCTGGTTTTCAGTGGCTGGCTCTCAATAAGGAGGTTAGGAAGATGTAAATACAAGTAGAGTGAAAGTGCAGGCATTCACAGACATGTTTTGATTGCCTGTAGTGCTGGAAGTCAGGGGTGCTTGGGAGACAGCTGGTAACTTTTCTGTTAAAACTGCAAGTCTTCAAATATATCTGTAAATCTCGGTAAATCCTCTTGATTAAATCTTAATTTGCCTATGAACTGTCTAAATGTTTGCTTAAATAATCACTTCTGTCAAATGAAATAAGTCAGATTCCTATGAAAATATTTTTTCTAATGTTACTTCACTTGCTGTTGTCCAAGTGTTTCTGTCTGTCATCAATTTCTTTAGGGAATGGAAGCATTAAAATTCATACTGCTGAAATGGAATAGTCACATATTTGGTCCACTGGGCTTACACTGCTGGAAATGTCCTTGACTTGAATGCTTTCCCTTCCAATAAGAAATGGAGTGTCCCTATTCAATCCCTGCTGGAACAACCTGTGGAGAGTTTGCCACTGTTGACTCTTCTGCTAAAGGTCAGGGAAGAAGATTGCTAGAGGTTGCCCATGCTGATCCTCTTGTAGAAGTGAAGCCTTTGAGTTATGTCCATGAATGCACCAGCTCCTCTTGGTTTAATCTATAATTTGCATGGTAGTCTGTGGTTCTGTCAGAAGGGATTCCCCATGTGTGCTACAATTTAAACCCTGCAGTGGGAACCTTCAGCTTCTGAGGGTGGCAGGATTGGGCATGGAACAGAGAAATTGAATTTCTATATATGATAAAGGGGGATTTCTGTATAGCTGTCAAATGAGTGCTGCTGCAGCCTTTCCTGTTTATTTGATCTTCCTTTTTTGTCCAGTGTGGCAGTTTAGGTGCTCTCCTAAGTTGTGAGAGATGTGGGATGTTACAAGGCAATTCAGGAAGCCAGCAGAATTAGGGTGCTCCTTTAAGTATTATTTGAAGCGGTGTTTTAACTCCAGGTCGCATATTACTTACTTTTATTTTAAAATGAAAGACATGGCTATTCTATGTATTGTGACCCCCACATCTTACTAAGTTATCCTGAATGGTCTGGATATGTAAGCAAGTGTACTTGGGGCTGTGTCCGGTTTTATGCTGTTTTCCCCTTCCAACTTGTCTATTACTTTGTAATTGCAATTTGTGACCAGATCTTCTTTTTCCGTGCAAAGTACTTGCATTTGTGTGTGGTGCCAAGAGGGGGCAGCAGCTTCCTTCCAATCTTCAGCATTAACGAACCTTTGAGAAACAGAACCTAGTGTTTCATGGGTTGGGGTTTTTTTGTGGTTTGGTTGGTTGGTTGTGTTTTTTTAATTAAAAAAAAACCCCAACTTTATTCAACTTTATTCATTAGAACTATTTCTAGAAACATGTAATCTTAAAATAATTAACATCCAGTCTAATCCTGTAGCGAGTAGTTTGCAGATGGCACATACTACACTTAAAAATTGTCCTCTCTATATATCAGTGAAGTGCATGTCCAAACACTCATGAACATAGACAAGTACAATTACATACAGCTCTGCATTCATGACTTGCTAAAAACCACTTGATTTTCCCCATCAATTATTTTAAAAAATGAGTGCTCTGCTCTCTTACAAACTTTAGAGACAAGCAGTGAAATGTTTTATCTCTTGTTTGTGGATGGGTTGAGGCTTTCCAAAAGAAGGGACCGAATGCACTGATAAAACATGAAGTGAGATGCCAGGTAGGTTTGTAAATACTCCTGCCTGTGCTTCACCAGTGCGCTTCAACCATGATACAGAACCAGCCTTGTCACATTCCTGGAATCTTTGCCCATGGTCATGACAGGTGAGGAGAAGCAAGGAAAAAAAGAGATGACAATTGTGTTTTGCTCTAGTCCACGTTCAGACAGAAGCCTCTTGATTGGAGAAAGAGGAAGGTCAGTTCACATTGACCTTCCATTGTCTTTTCTTTAAAGGGTGCTCCTTTACAGAGACCACCCAATGATAGTCCAGCCTGCAGGTCTTGTTTGTTGCCATTAGCCAGGTGATCACTAGACCTGTCAGCAGAGACATAAATATCTCCTTGGTGCTGGTCTTTGTGCAGTCATGTGGTTGTATTATAAAGGCAGCAGGATGGACCATGACTTCATATGTTAAAAAGTTATCTATATACATTAATACTTACAGGAGAGTGAATGCCATCTGCAAGGTCTTTGTAAGATAGTAGAGAACTCATTGCAGCATTGTTATCAAAAGCATGGCTCACTTTGTGTTGTGGCGTGTCAGAAAAGGTTTGTGTGGCCTTTTATGATGAGACACTGAAAGTACTTCATGCGTGAACCATCCACAACCTTTCCACATCCAGACATGACACCGGCATTTCCATATAACAGGCATGCTTTATCCAGGTCACCTTATTCAAATTTTATAAAACTGTCTGTCAGAACAGATGGTGTCACTTAAGGATAAAAAGCTTAGCCATAGATGTGAAGAAAAGCTGCCTCTTCAAGTGAGGTCTGCTAGCTCATCTTAGTCTTTATCGCCCGTCTTTCCCTGCTTGACAGAGGACTTTTCACAGGTTTGTGGTTGGTGTGTTCAGAGGCCTTGGCATTTTTGGATAGGTTTGATTTGTTGCTACAGCTCTGGACAGGTGGCAGCGTATCTGTCTATCTTAGTTCGCCCATCTGCAAAATGGTGTTTGCCTGGGCCAGAGAAATTAAGATGCACAAAACACATTTGTGGTTTCTAGGAGTTTTCTAGGAGGTTTCTAAGACTGGTTTCTAGGATATGCTCAGAGGGTTAAATTGTCCAGACCATGGGCAGGGTGGTGGGTAACATTACTGTCTGGGTCTTTTCTCCCCTTGTTTTATGGCAAGCATCACCATCTTCTCTGCTATCTGCCACTCCTCATGGAGGAAGACTTCTGGTGACTTCCCTGTCACAGCTCAGGCATCACCCATTGCTGTGTGTTTCTAAATTGTTTGTTTTAAGTTGGTCTTGGTGTTTCTCTTCAGCCTACAATTTTGGCTGCCTCCCTACCTTTTTGCCTGCCTTCTAGTAGGCAACATACATGTGTTTTCAAAGTCTATTATTGTCTGTTGTCGTCTGATTTGGCTGAGAGACTGTTACAAGCTTTGAATAATTTATTATGTTTGTAAGTTTTCTCTTTTTTTTTTTTTTGGTAGCTCAGATTTAGTCGGAGAAAGTGCTGGATATTCAGGGTACTGTTCCTCTTTGGGTTAGCCAATAATGCAGATTATTAATACATTAATAATACAAGGGAACTTTTCCAGTAAAGTCTGTTAAAAATTCTGCGTCTAATCAAAATTATGGATTCTTGAGGTGAGCTCAGGGTAATTATTCAGGGCACAAATGCCTTAGTAACACTACAATGTCATACTTGTTGACTTTCATTTTTTACCATGGCAAAAAATATTGTGCTTTAATTTGATTGTCTCCTTCCTGGATTTCTTTTTTTCATACTTGTGACTATACAAAAATAAACAGGATGATAATCTCTTGGATGTCACATGGCAGAGCAGTAGCTGTGCTGTGAGTGTCAAAGTAATGAATTAACTCAGCCCAGGACAAGAGGTTACTAAATAACCCTTGCCTACTGAAGGTGGCAAAGGTTTCTCAGGACTTACAGGCACTTAATGTGAGGCAAAGCCCAATCAAATTGGTGGTGTTTGAATGAAGGTCTCCAAATTCTCATGTCCAGACTATACAATGAGATAGCACAGAAAGTTAGATGTGAGGCATCCTCCTTATCATGGGTAGCAGGAATTTTCTCCAACTAAGGATGTCTTCCCTCTTGTCTTTATCTAGTTTAGAGAGACTTTATCTGACTCCTTGTCGTGTGTCCTTAATGGATTGTAGGACTGTACCGGGGGGAGGAAGGGGGCTTCAAAAAAAGGAATCCCTCAAGAGAGATTTCTATTTTAAGTTTGAAACTGATTGTGCAGAAATGGCACCTTCCTTTTAAATAAGTATGTTCTGTGAAATTCACCCTATCTTCAATAATTCACAGGCATTGCACTGGTAGACTTGTTAACCCCACACAGCCATGGCAGGGTAATTTTCAGTGTAGGTATCAACAACACTGATGAGTTTTAAATGAAATGGTAAATTCTGCTTTCACACTGTACTAATCACAGTGCAGGCTGGAGGTCAGTACAAACTTACATCATAGCTGACATTGGAAAGAAAAGGGCAGTACACAATTTTTATTATGGAAAAAATTAAGGAAAAAGGAATGCAACCACATAACCTTGTCATTCCTTTGGTTTAGCCTGATTACCCCTTTTAGACACCCACTGGCTGAGCAAAGCTTACGTGATTTTGGAGAGAGGGTGAACAGAAGAATACAGATGGATTTCTACAAGGTTACTTCTCAGTGGACATTGATCCTGCAGGACTGCTTTGAGAAGACAGACTCCCTTCTTAGAACTCTCTGAATTTTTTCACTTTTGGTTTTAATGATAAGTTATCTACCAAACCGGTAACTACAGTTAGGTATCTTCTCCTGTAATGGGACCTATAGTAGCCTGATGTTCCCATCATGTGTAGGGAATGTTTTGTGCTTCAGACAGGGTTCCATTAAAATCTGCCCATGGAGTGAAGGACTGCCAGTTCTCTGGCAGTCAGTGGGAAAAATCTGAAGGAAATCTGTATTAAAAACTTAATTTTCCCAGGTTTTAGCCATGCCAATGATGCAGACCAGCCATGGGATTTACAAACTGCTTCTAATGATTAGAATCCAACCTCCTGTGTTTTATTTGGAAATTTTTTTGTGTTTTAAATATAAGGCACTGGCTGGAAATGCATGTTGTCATATTTTTTGTTTGAGTTGTAGGTAGCTGACACCATTTTTTACACTTTCTTACCTCAAGAGCCACCTCCTTCAGTTCCCTCAGTCAGACGTGCAGTTACAGGGCTGCCCCTGTTCCCAGCAAAGTCAGAGATTTGCTCTCAATAGCAATGGCACAGGCAGGTGCTAAGTGCCAGGAGCAGTTAATATGTAACCTTCTTGTGGACTCTGGCTTGGCTTTTCTGTTCCAACCCACTGGGAGTGCCAGCTCAGCGAAGAAGTTTGGTATCAAAACACCACTGAAAGTCTCCCCTCACCAGAGGATCAGACTCTGCTCTCACAGAATTCCCACAGATGCTGGAGAGAGGTCCAGAGCTAACTGGCCTTCTGAGTGTGGAAATATCCCAGAATGGTGCATACTCTAACCTTCACTGTGGAACAAAAGGTTTTTAAACCTGTGATGTTTTATAAGACTGCCTGTGCCATACCTGCATCTGGCTTTGGCAGTGAGGACAGGCTGATGTAGACAAGCTGGAGTTTGATGTATTAGCGTGTAAAAAGCCATCCAGAGGATGCACAGGAGGATGGGCACTCGCACTGGTAAGATTCAGGCAATCCTCTTTCATTGCTACACCGGGATTTGGTATCTCTATGACCATTAGGATAGAGAGGCGCAGGGTAGGAAGTTCCCTCGCATATCTGCTGCTACGGTTGCTAAAAATTTCCTAAGCCCAAGGCTTTTAGTGTTAACCACACTACAGCATTCACTCAGATGCGAACCATGAAGCACCATGGCAGTGACCAGGAGATGTGCTGCCTCTGTCCCTGTAAGCACTAAGGCACTGTGAAGGGAGGCTGAAGATGTTTGGGGATCTATTTTAACCCAGCTTTGCAGGTCTGTTGGGTTACTTTTGGCGGGGGTGGGGATGAAGGCAAGGTGCAAATTGAGACCAAACTTTCCCTTAGGCTAAATCAGGGTTTGAATGACAGCAGAAATGGGCAGATGCTGCTAAGAAGCTTTTGACACTTGTACCATGCTGCAGGTGTGCCAAGCATGTGGCAGAAATATGCAAAAAATTCATTATAATACAAGTAGTGTCATCTGCTGCCTGGTCCTTTTGCATTTCTGTGTTCCTTAGCTGCCTCATTAGGTGGGGAGCAGGCCTGATTACTGACTTGTTTGTCAAGTGACAAGCCAGGCTAATTAGTTGTGTGGGCAGAGGATTGGTTTCAAGCTCATCAGGAGGGCACCCTCATCCCTTCCTCAATCATATGCGTCCTGCAGCGGGGTTTGCCGCAGGAGTTTGTTTGTGGGTTCTTCTCTAGAGCTCATGGACAGAAAATCTGGGCTAAATGGGGCACTGAGAGGATCTTTTCTTAGCCTGTCACACTGGAGCCGTGGATTGCAGCAGCGCAACTGGCACTTTTGCAGGGCGTGAGGAACACTTCCTTGTCACCCTGCAGGGTGTGTGGCGGGAGTGGGCGTGCAGCGATAATCGAGTCACCGAGTGAAGTGGCAGGCCTGTGTGGCTGATTTACAAATACCAGTGTTCTTTATTTACACAGACATGTAAACAACAGAAGGTAAACAACACCGCCCAGCTCGGTCTAACAAACAGGCTGCTGCTGTTTCACTTCAGGACCTGAGGTGTTTTAGACATTTCACAGAAACTGTATTGACAGCAAACACAGGAAGGCTACGAGGTTACCTTGACTCTTTCTCTCTGTACGGGAATCGCATGCACGGTGCGGCAGTGTGGGGGAACGGCACCGCCTGAGGCTGCAAACAGGGGTATGCAAGGAACCTACCCAGAGCTGGCCTCAAGTTCGGGTCTGGCCGGAGTCAGCAGTATTTGTGAGCAGTACCACTGCAGCCAGTCTGTCCTCTGACAGCACTTCCCACCCAGAGGTCTGAAAGCACTCTGCGAACAGACTGAGCAATCTTCATCACATCCTTGGCAAATCATCCCGTTTATATACAAGGAAATAAAGGGAGGGCCTTCAAAGAGCGGCTTTCCCAGAGCTCAGGTTTTACTGGTCTCGTTTCCCAACCTTGTGCTTTAAGCATAGCACCATTCTTTCTTCACAGAAGTATATTGCTTCTTGGCATTTTAGGACAAGCTTTTGAATACAAAGAAATGCCCCAAGCACTGGAGGTAGAGGGGCAGTGGACGGTCCCAGTTATGACCAGAAGCTGCTCTGCTCCAAAGCTGCCCCTGCTGAAAGAGGAGCCAGCTACTGTGCGACACATTGCACCCAATCCCAAGCTTTTTCAAGTTTGTCTGAAAACACAACTAAGGGAAACATTAGCTGCAAAAGAAAATCTGTTCAAAAACAACAGTGCTGATGTGCTGTCTTGCAAATTTAACTGCAACAGTAACCCAAAGACAGAAAAATACCTAGTGGAGAAATGAAGAGTTCCGGAAGTTTGCTGCTTTGTGCCAAGGAACAAATTTCCTTAAAGTTTTAGCAGCAAAAGAATCAGCTAGGGCTTGAACAGCACTGAGTTCTCAGCTGTAAATTCACATTTTGGTTACACACACACTTCCTAAATAAAAAAAAATTAAAATAACTTCTCCAGATTAACCGGTATTGGATATGTTGTTTGGTTCTGGTTTTTTTGGTTTGGTTTCTTTTTTTTCTTTTTTTTTCCTGTTGTGGAGTGATAACCATGGCTTGAACCCAAAACCAGTTTCAGCCTTTCTACCTGTTTTCTAACATGAATTGCAAGTTCGATGGGCTCAGCTTGTATGCTAGATCAAATTCAAGCATGTGAGAATTGCTGCTAAAAAAGCAGCTGGGAAGTTGTGTTTGAGCACAGTATTTAAATACTCAGCTGCCTTCTCTCATGCACATTATGCAGCAAGAAGTTTAACTTCTATCCTCCCAATTAGAACTACAGCCCTATCTTTAGTTATCATGGGAAAGGAGATGAATCAACACAACCATAAGATACACCATTTACAGCTGCCAGTACAGCAGCAGGTAAGATAAAGACAGAAAAAGAGGACTGTTTTTCTTAAATAGTCATTCCTGCAATCCTTTCAAACCCCCAGGTGAAAAGGAAACCTAAGAAATTCTCCTTAAATAAAAGCTATGTACAAATTGCACACATTGCAAACGGAGCACTGAGATCAGTTACAGAAAATAAGATGTACAGTCTTCACTGATAACATCTCTCTTGCTATAAACAGTGATAAACAGCATATGCTTTCTTCAGATGTCAGAACCCAGCAAGACAGCAATATTATGTACACAGGGCTTGTTTGCCTTCTGCCTCCCACAGCAGAGCCCCTCCAAACTCTGTTTTCACTTCAGAAAGCTGTGCAGCGACGCTCCTGCGCACCGTGCCGCTGCTGCTCGGCAGATCACAAGAGAGCTGTCATTGCTGTCTGGCTGATGGGCTTCAGGCAGTCTCTGGGCGTGGAGTAGCCCTCTCCCCCCAGAGCAGTTTGCTGGGGCTTCTGGTAGTCTGTGCTGTAGCTCACGGAGGTCACAACACCATTAACTTTGGGTTTGTCGTAGTTTATGACACTCTGGGGTGTCTGATAGTCTCCGTTCCTGGTGTCGGTTTTGCAGGAACTGGAGAAGCTGCCAGCGGTAAGGGAATGTATCTGAGACGAGGCGACGGGAACGTTGTAGCCGTTCTCAGGGGGGAAATTACCTTCTCTTGCTATGTGCCGCTCTATGATGGGAGTGGCGTACTCGGGCTCCTGGCTGGTCAGGGGCAGAGCATATTCGTGCCTGTTAGCTCTGTGAGGGCAGTGATAGTGATTTTCAAACTCAGAACTCCCCCTTCTTCCCTCCTCTTTGGTGTCCATGGGACGAAAAGTAGATCCTTTACGTGTTACCGTCCCGGTTCCGATCATGAGAGGCTGCTGATAATCTAAAAGGAAGCATGAAATGCTCAGTTAGGCATAGATTGGTTATCTTATGTATATAATACTTATGCACAGATAGGTATTTTATGGTGAAAAGCTACTCTGTTATTGTTTCGAAAGTGTGATTATTGGGGATGTGAGGAAACCTTTCCCCAACATTGATCCTGTAACCTCCTTCAGCGAGCAAGAATTGCAGAACATGGCAGAAGCTTTTCCACAGAGAAGCTCCAATCTGCCACCTCTTTTTCTACTCTCTCCCTCCCTTTCCCTACCTACCCCCCCAAATAAATTAACATTTCTGGAGTATACTTAAAAGCCCTAAAAAAGAGTGAGGTCAACAAAATATTAACAACAAACTGGACAAAGGACATTGCATGAAGATCCACAAGCGAGAAGTTCTCGAAAATGAGTGTTCCACTTTTGGAATAATAAAAATGCCCAGAGGATTCTTAACGAGCCAGCTTTATTTAAAAGGCATCTCACAGCAGCTGACTGACAAGAAGGATGAAGTTAGGAAAAACGGCAGCCAAGAGAGTCAATGGAAGTGTGAAATGTGCTAAGCCAGCTCAGCATGGCTGCAGGCGTGCCAGGGGGGATGAGCTTGGGGGGAGAAGCGGGAATGGCGCTGCTGGAGGGACTGGGCAGTCACCCAGTCAAGGGGGAGGGCAGGGACAGAGCTGGCCTAAGGGCTGAGCAGGAGCAAGGAGCGAGATGGAGGAAACACGGCCACAAGAAGCGCGTGTTTGTGCCTCTAGCTATGGTAGGTGCCAGGCTGCCGTGTGAGGAGGTCTGAACGAGGAGGTTTTCTGAAAAAACAAGCAACACTGTTATGAGGAAAGTGAACGTTCTAACTTTCTCGCTTTGGCGCTGGTGACAATCTCGTACAGATACCAAGGGTGGCCTGAACAGCTCTAGTAAGTGACACTGCTAAAGTGTGGCGTTTGCACACAGGCGTGAAGAAGTTAGCTAGGTTTCTGTTCTGGCATCGCGGTTCAGCTGACATGAGCGTCGAATTCGATCCCATATGTCCTGTGAATCTTTTTGGCAGTTTCTGGCTGGGTCCCAAACTTCAGCATGTAGGGTGAAGGTGTTATGATATTTCTCCAAGTAAGTAGTGCAGCCCTCCCCAGCATCGCTGCCGCCATCCCCAGAAATCTCTCTCGCTCAGGATGGAGCATCTCGGCTTCCTCCTGGCTGCCTCTGGGAACCAGCAAGCAGTCTGAAGCGAGGGAATTCCATGTAGCATGAAAACCTATATGCAAACTGTGTGCTCCCTGCAATTAAATTATTAAATGGCACATTTCTAGGTTGCATCCACCTTCCTATTTAATGTTTTTTTAATTTTAAGGAGACTGCAGGTGAAATGCTAAGGCTGGGAATATGCCTGAGCCAGGCTGAGAGTTCAGACTTCCCATAAACACAGCAGGAGGGGATGGTGGAAAGACTTCCCAGACATGGCCAGGGAACCAAAAAACCATATTTTGTGAGCAACCTTTATTCGTTCTTTTCCCTTAAAGCTGTTTTATAGGTCTCTGCACATTTATATTGAAAGTTCCTACAAAGGATTGAAACTGTCTTTGAAAGATACTGAAAGCAGCACCATATGGAATTACAGTAACCATCCATTTGTTTTTTAAATGTATTTCTCTGCCAAACACAATGAAGAAATTCTAAGGAATTTCTAAGGTCTGGAGGCTGGAAACAGGAAACTAATCTTTC